CATGCCCAGGATTCCCTCTTCCATATCTGCTGCCGCCCGCCAGGGTCCCCCCCCCCAAATTTGGGTACTCGGGCTCGAAAAGGTTCCCTGTCCCTGCTCTAGGCCATTCTCACCCGTGCCATTTGTTTTAACAGACTTTCTTCTAGTTTAAATGTTCCATGGTTCCCTGTTGTGTCCGTGTCCCACTTACTATGCTGCTGTGGCTTCTTCTGTTAATGGAGCAATGACAAGTTTGTTTTCCCAGAATATTTGGCCATGAATCCTCAATTTGGCTCCATGACAATTCTTGTGTTTACAAATCCGGCAGCCACCTTGAAACCACAGACAGTTCCAGGAATGTCACAAAAATGATTTGCCGCTTTTTTTCACAACATGCTTCTGTCTGTGAATTTCATTTTTTAGCCCATGGCTCTAGCTCCTTGGTTTATTTTCCAGACTGAACTAAAGGTTATTTAGCACTGTTGTATTTCTATATATTATTCTGGTTTCTGGGTTCACTTTCAGAGAAACCTGGCTGCCCCGACTTTTGACCATTACTTTAAAACTGTTTTCTGTGCAATATCTTTGTGACAGTGGAAGGGAGTTTTTTATTCCAGCCTCTCTCTTTTGCTAGAGGCTTTTACTATTTTTCTCCATATTCATGGTGAAAAGCCACATGGCATTGCCAATATGGGATAAAAATTATAATTTCCTAACCCCAGACCCTCCTTGGGTGAGACAAGCTTTTGGTGGAATATGTTCAATCTTGGAATATGTTCCTTAGTGGAAAACTTTGATCAGCACATCAGTAGCCTATGGGGGCATATATGTTACTAACAATTGGTTGTATGTAGTTATTTAAACATGAAACTGAAATGTTATCTACTTCACTTTTGTGAGTGGGTGTGGTTTCCTTAGAGATCTAGCTAGAACAAGTTAAGAGTGGTCTGTCTGCTTTGTATAATCAGTCCAAGATGTCAGGTTGCTGTTAACTGTTTGCATTTATTTATAAGATGACTTTTAAAAACCATTTCCTCTTATTTTAAACCTTGTGCCTACCATAAAGACAGAGATGTTGATGTTCATTTGTTCCTGCATTTCAACAAGCAGAGAGGTTCCTTGAAGTTGGGGGGAAAACATTTCTTTTAAAGCAAAACTGTTTGAAACTGTAACCCTAAAAGCAAGGAAATTCAGGCCACATGTACCTTTTCTTTTAATATACTTTCATCTAGTTTAAACATGTGGTCCTGCCTGTCCTTATTCAGAATATTGATACAGGAGTACACATTTTTGTGTGTATTAAATTCCATCACATGTTATTACAAGTAAGTACCACTCTTTCATTCCCCAAGAAGAAAAACAGTCTGCTTTTCTTGGAGAAGCACATTAAACACAACAAAGCTTCCTTTCTTCAATTATGGATCAATTGGACAAGATTACCAAGATAATGTAACAATGGATTGGGATGCACCGCAGATTTGCTGTTGATATTATCAAGGTCTGTGTCTCATTTCAGCTCTTCCATGCCACTAGTGTTGGCAAAATATAATGACTGGAGTGGCTACTAGGATTGTTATATTGTACTTACTTTCAGTGGTCTAAATGTCTTTGATTTTAGGGTCTAGATCAGGAGGGGAGTTTTGGTCCCAAGGTTTGTTTTTTTCCTGTTCAGAAATCCTTTTTTAAAAAGTGATCTTCCACAGAGTAAACATGCCCTGGGTGGCTGGTATTTGATTTGTTTTCTCTCCAGCGTAAAAACGTTTCTGGTGCATCTTGGCTAACAAAAAACACAAATAAGCTCCTGAATATCTCATTGATGTTGTGAAATAAACCCTGTGCTTTCAGACCCTTTCTTACCTTGTCTTCTTGCCATTGCTGTTTCTGTTTATGCTTCTTTACTGAAAAAGTTGCATTTTGTCAAGCCATTTAACTCTGACAACTCATATAGCAAACATATTGGAGTTGCACTGATTGGCTTCATGTCCATGTGTGTATGCATTTGCACCACTTCCTCTGATTGGGGCTATATGATTAGCTCTTGCATTCTCAGCATACCTGTCACCTCCTAATGAGGGCTCCATAAAACAACATCTCATGATCTAGTTTCCTGCAGCACTTCTGGTGAGCTGTAAATCTTAGATTTTACAATTTCGGGATAGCAAAACAAATGGAATAATTTTTCTGTCTGAACCGGCTTTTTAAGACATTTGAATTGTTTCATGTAATAGACATGCATCTTGCTAAGAAGGAAACAAAAGTTTAATGAAAATAACTATTAGTAATGCAGTGTTAGATAAAACAGAATCCAGAAATGCACAGTTGCTATCTAATGCCTTGCAAGACAGGATGAAAGTCAGAGATGAGATTTAAAGGAAAAACTAAAAAGGAAAGAGGAGAGTTAGTGACATACTTAAGTGTCATTCTCCGTACTTTGAAGGAGGAAAAAAAACTTTGCCATGTTTGTCCATGTTCTGGTGTGTGACAAAAAAAGTGTTGCTTCATAATGCTTGTGTTGAGCCAGTAGCAGAGCTTACTGTATACAGTATTTACATAGATCGAGATATAGATTTAACTTTTGATGAGTTCACATTTCCCCTGCAGGACAACGTAAAGTGCAATTTACCACTTTTTGCTGGTTTATCAGCTGCAACCCCATCTGAAGAAACCAACGTAGCCACAGTTAAGCACCCATCAGATACATGTAGATCACTTTGCTGTTAATGTGCTTGATGTGAGGTTGCTATTAAAGATGGTATAGAATGTCACTTGTGGGACTTAGGCACTTGGATCACATTACACCAGTAGCATTTACATTGGTTGCCTACAAATTCTGGGCCCACTTCAGGATGCTGGTCTGGTCTTTGAAGGCTTAAATAGAAAAAACAAACTCCCACTCTCAGAATTTGGCAACAACCCTCAAGCTGAATTATGGGACTCAGAGGTGTCAAATGGCAGGAGGCAGAGCAGCCCTCTTTACCTTCATGCCCTTCTTATGCTGCTGCTTTACACCCTCTGAAAAGTGTTCAGCTTCACCTTTGTGAATCACAGGTGGACTGAGTACCGATGGAGACAATCTCCATTGGAACTCATTCCTCCATGCACCTTGTGTGAGTTACAGGGAATCCTCGTGATTCTCAAAGGAACACTTGGACACTTTTCAGAGGGCCCCAAAGAAGTGGCATGAAAACGGTATGGGGGCAAGAAGGTTGCTTGACCTCCTGACATTTGTCAATTGCCAGTCCCATAATTTGGCCTGGAGGATCCCCACTGAATTATAGGGCTGGAGGTTCTTTCCCCCCACCCCAAAAGTCCCATCCCTATTAAATAGTTTGGAGCCACATTACTTAAAAGAGTGCCAGCACTAGTTTCAAGCTATCCAAGAACTAAGATTAGCAGCAAAGGGCCAGCAGTTAGGCTGCCAGATATCAGGCAGGTCTTCTCAGCATTGGCCTCACATATTTCAAGTTCCCTCCTCAGGGATGTGCCTCATCAACTCATCAACTTTACTTGTTGTAAAAAACATTGAAGACAGGCTTCCACTAATTAAAAAAAATAGTGCTTGGATGTGTGTGTGTTTTACTTAATTGATTTTTCATGTTTCGTGCTATCTTGTAATAGCCATATGCCCTGAAAACCAGGTTTAAAGTCTCATAAAGATATAATAGTGCTTATATTAAAAACCCAAACCAGCAAGGATAATCTGGAAATATCAGACTAACCTGGGTAATGTACAGTTCAGGTTATGCATATCACTGGAGATTTATTTAGAGCATTCCAGCATAAATAAGAAATGATTTCAAACTCTCTTCTACCCTCCCCCACAGCTTATTTAAGCAGCATTTACTACCTGTTGCAGTGAGCCTCTGTGTGTGTGTGTGTGTGTGTGTGAGAGAGAGAGAGAGAGAGAGAGAGAGAAGTTCACTTATATATGCTTTCATATATATATATATATGAGAGCTTTCATATATATTTGAAAGCTCAGAGTGTTCAGTAGGGCTTGTTCCCTAATAAACCTTTCCCAAGGTGCTATTCTCCAGACAGAGTGTGGAAAGTAATTTCTAGGAAATATGAATCAGATGACATTTCAAAGCTATCCATTACTAAGAAGTGTCAGGGAGATGCGCTGGAACCCAGAGCTTATCATCTCACTTCTCAGTTATGGATTGCTTGACCACATCATTACGTTCATTCTTAAAAATAATTTCAAGCTGCAGATGTTTGGTCTTCAAACAGTGACAGTGTTTAGGAATCCTGGGAATTGTAGTCCAGAATATCTGCAGGGCATCAGATCTAATAGGAAGAGTCCATAGCTGAGGATTGCTTTGAAATATGTTTCGTTTGGGCTGGTCTCATGGTTGAGCTGGTTGAGCTCAGTGGATTCAAGTGCCTGGCTGCAGATCTATGAGTTTGAATCCCTACTGGGTTCCTGGGGGTGGGGGGGGGGAGGGGGCAGGGGGAGTATGTGTAGCTGTTGAGGTTACATGACCTGCCACCTGTGTATTTGTGAACAAGCTGTGTAGCCCCAGAGCACCATCTGAAGGAGGGACTGGTAAACAACTTCAGAGCACTTTAGACTTAGAACATCTTATAATGATAGCCAAATATCAGAAACAACTTGTTGGCACTTGTTAGTCTGATGACTTACTGTCAGAAATTATGCGGGAAAACAGTAGAAAATAGTTTAAGATGTACTCCAAATTGTTGCTTTATAGTTTGGTCCAAGAGTCTTTTTAGGGCTGGGATGGGGAACATGTGGCCCTCCAGATGTTGCACTGAAAGTCCTATGATTCCTCACCCTGATTATGCTGGAAAGGGTGGGTGGGAATTGCAGTCCAACAATATCTAGAAGTTCACACATTGCAACAAAAGGTCATACAAGCTGATTTGTCTTTTTCGTTCTTGGTTTTTTTTAAAAAAAATAGTTTCTCCTTGGCATGCTTTAATTGATCATTTTGATTCCTGCAACATGAATGTTATGCTGTCCAGTAAATGAGATGGGAGAGTAAAAGGGGAGGGGGGAATTGAGCATCAGGATACCTGTTGTTCTGTTTATTTTCTGGGAATTGTGTGTGTACCTTCTGTTCTAACTGGTCACCATGTTTTTTTCATTTTCCCCCTGGAAACAGAGTTGGAGACTCCTGTGTACAGATATATCAAAGTAACTGTCTCAAATTGTTCCAGCTGTATTGTGAACACAAACCCTCCCTTTCCTGTGATAAGTGCCAGACTAGAAAATATTGTTGCATATCATTAGCGTAATTCCTTTACCATGTAAAAGAGGAATGCACCAGCTTTCCTTGCCTCCACATGTTCCAAACTAGCTTACTGATTTCTCAGTAGGAGATAGAAAAAGTTCATTTGCAAATCAACTGTTACTTGCCAAGCTGCCATTTCATATAGTTTGACCCTTGCATAGGCTGAAGTCCTGTTGCTTTGTTACACATGCAGAAGGCAAAAGGTGTAAGGTTAGGTTGTTCCTAGCCAGTAATTAATTAATCAGTCTGCAAAGCCAGTAGGCACATGTCCCCTTGAGTATCCCAGCTACAACTTAATTGCCAACTAGGAATGACTGAATGTTAAGCCTTCTGCCTGTATTACAAAGCAACAGAATTTCAGCCATACTCAAAAGATTTGTTTGTTTGTTTATTGGATTTCTATCCCACCCATCTAGACCAAAGGTCTATTTAGAATTCTTTTATTAAAGCATCAAAAGAAGAGAATGCTTTTTGCTATACTGTATGTATTTATTGTACAAAAAAATCTTAAAAAGGACAAAGAAACTGGAACAGAAGCAATGGTTATGATATACTAGACAGACTAAAACCAGTTACAGAACAAATTTAGTTTATACAACACAGAAGAGAAATACCCAAGGCAATCCTTTTTGTTTTGTTTTTTCCCCATTTTTTCTAATTTGTATATGAAAGAACAGCTGTTACAGTCCCCAGTTGTTCTGACCTCACCTTCTCATAAATAAGTGCCACCTCAGTTAAATTCTCATGTTTTCACTTAGAAAACCCTGTAGAGCAGGAAGAGAGCACACACCTGCCTAAAATATGTCTATTTATTGAGTTTTTGGCAAAGGGGACCTAGCTGGGAACTTTTCCAACTGGGCAAGAAAGACTATTTTCATGGGGAAACATTTGTCACATTGTTCTTTTCCAGCTTTAAAGCTGTTACATGAAACAGGCCAGAGCTGTGTTCATTTGATAAATGACAATGAAGCCATTTAAGAAATCAGTTTCACCAGTGTCCAAGTAGTAGAAGGAGGAATAATGAAACATCTGACATCAGAAGATAAACTAATGTAGGGGATGTTGTTTCAATAAGCTGGTTCTAAGTAACTGAAATATTTCCTGTAACTTCCACATGTTATTCATCTATGGATTCTATAAAGCTTTAAAATACACCAATTAAAATTCATTAACAGAAACTTCATCCTTCTTCCATAAATGACACAGAAGTAAAGCTAATTTGTCTCAGAATTAACACAGTTTCAATTATAAAGCTTGCAGAAGAATTCAGAACTAAACCGTCCATTCTCTGTTTCCACATTTTGACTCTAGGCAAAAAAAAACAAAAAAACTTGGTCTCTAGGTTTCCTGTTACAGTAGGAAAAATCTATAATAGTGCTAGTAGTTCAGCTGTAGTTTTCTGTTCCAAACTAATTACTGAAGATGTGGGTTCTTTTTCCTCATCCATTACAACTCATGGGAAGCTGAGCCTAGCTGGAGATTGGTTGAATAATTCTATATTTAAGAGTCTCAAAAAGATGTAACACAGTGAAAATGCACATAAATACATAATAGGAATTTAATGGAAAAAAAGTAAGTATTGGGTTAGTTTGCCCTCACAGAGTTGTGTTCAGCAGTATAGTAGCAAGACACTTTGTGGCTTGGAAGTCAGATACAACTGTTTATAATTGCTCAGATCACAGTACTACACAGTAAATTGCCTTCAGCAGGGAGGGAACTACACCAGGGTTGATATGTACTAATCCTCCCACACAGCCTTTACAAAAAGAGAAAGCACAGACATAAAAGTATCTCTTCTTGAGCTCTAGGGTGTGTCACAAAAGGGAAACCCCATCCTAGTCTCTTTAAATTTTCTTTAACCTTCCATAGTGCAAATGGTACCTTAGCCCAAAGAAGTCTCTCAATATTCCATTTTTACAACGAACATTCAGCATTTTTTAAGTCCAGGCGCTTTGCTTCACTCCTGCAAAGTCTCTGAGGCCTCTCCAAACAGGCTGTCAGGACTGCCTCCTGCTTCCAAAGTGAATTGCCATCCGTTTTGTAAAGAAAGGCAGCATCTCAGGGAGGAGGTGGAAAACTGTGAATGGACATACAAACCAAATACAACAGGTTCCCTGTTGATTAAACATCAGTCATAGACTTGCACCTGTTTTTGGAAACTGAAATTACTGTATGGCACAATGCCTGTTGCAGTGGCATTAAACTTTCCCCTTAGAAACCTAGTTTCTTCTCACTAGTAGGCTCTTCTCTCTCAGCCAGTGACGTTTCCATCTGGAAAGTTGAAGTAACAGCTGTGCATGTCCCAGGTGCAGGATTGGAGTGAAAAGCTCTGAACTCTCTTTTTTTTATATTTTATTTTTATATATTTTAAATTTTTATTTTGATGCTCAAGTGCTGTGTTTGGTCATGTGATCAAAACAAACAAACAAAAACAATCTTAACCAGTGAATGGCCTTTTGGTCATGTGATTAAAATAAAAACAACACATCTTAGCCCATGTCATTATTCTCAAACTAATTTCTTCATTTCATCCTCTCATCCATCCACACGCACAGAGGCACATATACACAACCCAACATTCATACACACCACTATGACATTTATGGACAGTAACATAAACAAAGTAAATAATAATATACTTGAAGGACTTATATTTACAAGCGTACATCCAAAAATAACCATGCCTGTCTGCCTTTTGTGAGTCAAATTACCCAAAGGAGATTCTTGTCCCATTGGAAGAATCCATTAGTAATAGCAGGTTGTTTGGATATTATCTTTCTAGTTTAGCACCACTGGGCAGTAGGAGGAGAGGGGAATCAGACCACCCAAAACCCAGAAAGAAAGCATCCATGTTTTAGGTGAGACCTGCCCAATTTTGTTGTGTCATAATGTCATGGATGAATACTGTCAGTGGTTAATAAAGAAGTATGGGTCTCTATATACAGGGGAACATTAGAAAGAACTGCATAATTGCTTACTTAGGGTGCAAGACTAAGCACCTTAAGTAAGTGCTTTTACTTCTAAGTAAGCACTCATAGGAGCTAGCTGCAAGTCTCTGAAAAGAATTGCTTGTGATTTTGAACACTTGGACCAGTAGGGAGGTTATGAAACAGTCTATAAGAAATTACACCAATAGGGCTTTTTTGTATATGTATGATCTACTTGGACTTTTATCTTTGCATGTAAGATTCAAGCAAAAAGAATTCTTCATTCTAAATCTTCAGTAAACATGGGTCATGTGTTTGTAAAATACACATTATCCAAAACACTAAGACAGAGCTTGTTACAATAATAATTGGAAGGGTTTTACTTCACCTCCTTTGCTATCAATGGGTACCTCAATAGTCTTTTCTGACCACAAACCCAATATATTAGGCTACTTTGGCATTCGATAAATTACTTTGTAATCACAGTGCCCTCAGGACAACAGATTGCTCAGATTAATTGTCTACTCAGGCCTGTATTTCAGGTCTTTCATATAACGTATTTGTATTTCAGATATCTCTTGTTATGTGTTAAAACTGTTTTGTCTGTATCAGCAAGACATAGTGTCAAATTATTTCTTGGAGAGCCAGGCTGTGTTCAAAAATAGCTGTTTGGAAATATCCTGTTGGAGGTAGCCCAACTCCTAGGGATCCAACATGATCCTAACCATCTCAAGTTTCATACAATGACAAGTATCTATCCCTCACCCCCTACAGCTGAGCAAAACTACCAACAGGAAATTATACTTAATGAAAAATAGCTTTGTCATGCACTTCCCTCCTCTGTGTCTCCAGCAGAGAAGGACTGTGCATTGCAAAGTATGTGGCTTTGTGCCATAGCAGGTCATCTAAGAACATCTCCATTTTCAAGCATGGTGAAAGTTAAGTATGTGATAACAACAACATAAGCAAAAATCCATCTGATTTAGAATGGGGTATTAAGAAGCAATATTTTTGTGCAAAAGACTTTAGATTTCAGTCCCCTATTTGAAGTCTAGAAATTTGCTCTTTGAACAAAAGTGAAGCCAAATTTCCCAGGAAACCTAGTTATTTAAGGAAATTTACCAGACCAAAAATCAGTGTAATAAATGACACATATGTGAAGGTTATCAGGAGGCTGAACAATCTGTGGTTAAGTATTTTAGTATTCTAGAGATAAAGTAATAGAGCATGTTGTCTGTATGAGCAAAGACTTGGATTTTCATAGTTCTTGAGTTTATACATCAGGCATATCAGAATGATGACATGCATACAATGCAAAAACTCGTATTCCTAGAAGAATAAACTGAGACCAGCAATCTATGTTCAGATTGTTAATGTGGCCTTTCCAGGATGATGGGAGGAAACCTGGTTGTATTTATATAGCTAAGTGCTGGGGAAAATAGAGTTGTTTTTTTCTTTGTGTAAAATAAATAGAATTTTCAACCAGTGCTGAAGAGGAAAAATTTAGATATTCTTGGTCTGAAGGGCTTAACTAGAAGAGAAAAAGATCTGTGCCCTATCAGTGTTTGGCTCTTGTTTGGCGATGGAAAAATAATTTTCCTTCATCTTGCCTCTCCACCAATGTATATGCAATACCAGAGCTGCTTAGGTGATAGTTTTGTGCTACATGTATTTGCTTTCATGTAGAAGGGAATTGAGACCCCCTTGAAGATCATATAATAAATTACCGGCATCTGTCAAGGACCTTTGTCTCATGTATTTTCTTTTCCAGTCCAAGGATCAATCCTAGCAACCTAGTAAATTTCAAAGCAAAATCTGTAAGCATTAAAAGGAAAGAGTGGCATTGTTCTACATATCTATGTGGCAACTTTGAGATTCCTCACTGATTAAAAAAAATACTGTGACCACTAATGTCAAATTGCTGGGACCTATTTTTGCTGGATAGGGTGATCATGTTCCTTATAGAATATGATCACTCTTCTTGGTCCCCATCTTTTTACTACTAGGAATTTTAATATATGTCTAGTATGTATGAATCCACATTTCTGATGTTTTGTTGTTGCAGATCTTGTTAGTATACTGCATTAATAGTTTCTACTATGGTTTTGAATCTTTCCATGAACCTAACCATGTACCAAGAATGCAAACTGAAGAAAAGGGGAAAATGGCAGCAAGCACAGCACAAAAAAAAACTCAATATATGAAATGATCAAATAAAATCATAACATATCACTGTAACTGCTTGATAGCATTCAAGGCTTGGGAATTCCGGATGTCATCCATTGTTTCCAGAGCTGTTATCTTGTATATAGCCAATCTGTCTTTTTTGTTTGCCCCAAATGGTTAACTCATTAAATTAAGCTATCATATGTTCAACAAGCTTAGAAGGCATTGGTTGATGAGTGCTTTGAAACGGTTGAAGCGCTTCAGTCTATAAGTGCTAGAGAGAGAGAAGCAATGTAGCTCAAAAATGGCTAGAAGAACTGATCTCTGTGCAACCTTGGGCAGGGGACTGTTCCCATTTGGGATTTAGGGGTTTAAACCCATGAGAAGTGCTAAAGTTTGGCTCAGCTAGAGCCACATGAATTTCCCTGCACCAGGATAAATGGGTTAAGGAATTTAGGTAACATGTCATCCTATGCATTCTCATCCAAGCCTCCATCTATAATTTGCCCGTTGGTCCGGGACTCAATAACTCAAAATAGGAAGGCAATGTTTCAAGAGCATTAGCTAATGTAAGGAAGAGTCAGAGTTGTTCCATGTTGGAATGTGGCTGGGAGCTGAGATTCACAGGTCAGCTGTCATACAGTAAGTGCTAGAATTGGAAAGGCAGTCCTCTGTGGAGTACATTAGTTCCTTGTGGTCTCTTTTGATTTTTCTTCACCATGATTCGACATCCTTGAATATCTGTAATCTGTACTTTTGTGAAAAAGTCATTTCAAGAAAAATCTGAGAGTATATTTTTAGCTGTTTTAATGTAATGGAACAACTGTAATACTGGCAGACAAACCAGTGGTCCTCTGTGCTAAAAACATTAGAAAAATACTTGGCTCTAGGTCTGTTAAAGACTCCCCTTTCAGTTTATCACCTCCACGCCTGGGTTCCAGACCCAGGACAGGCATTTCTGAAGAGTTGCGTCATATCACACAGCAGCTTCCTAGACAGCCCAAGCAGAGAAAAGGAGAAACAAGACCTAAAGCAGCAGGAACAGCTGAACTCTAGAGAAACAGAGATCCTGTTTTCATACTGTCATGAAAATAGCAGAAGAGAAGTGAAGACGCCACAATGGTATGAGCCTAAATGTTTGTTCCAGTTTGGGGCAAAAAGACGTTAGCTGCATCAGAGATTATGCTTGCTTCCCTGTCTCTTCTCTCACCTTTCAGTTATTAAGTTGAAATCGCGTGTCACAGATTAGTTAGGACCAGTATAATGATTACTCTGCAAAACAAACACAGGTATTATCTATCATTTGACCTCACTAATAGAACTGTTTGAATCTACTTCCCAATTCAATCAGAGGCTACCTGTTCGCTCTGATCGGCTCTCTTTTACCTGACCTTTGTCCTGTAGTGAAATGGGAATCTGCCTTACCTGCCATCTTATCAAGTGCTTCAGCCTTTGGCAGTCCTAGCTGAGTGGGGATGTCAGGGAGGAATCTTCCCATTACAAACTAGATTCAGACTTCTGTTCCCTCCTCAAACAGAACCTTTGTGCCATCCCAAATGGAAATCCCATAGGGAATGGCTGGACTCTGGTGACTTAACAATGAGCACAAGTTTTAAGTTCACATTCTGGATTTTAACAGCTGACAAATAATTTGAGTTAGAGTACTATTTCGCTTCTAATTTGCAGCATCACTCACTTGCCCTGAAAACCCATACTGGAACCAACACCTTAACACCACAACTGTAATAGGACTGTTCACCATAAAAGCTCCTTCCACCTACTTAAACATTGCCCTCTACCCATCTTTTTGATTATTGGGATAATGAGCCACGTAGCTTTCTAACTACCGTCTCCCCAGTAGCTGTGAACCAACAGGAGCAATAACAAGATACAGACCCAATCTGTTGCTACCTTGGTAGTGTACATGGTCGTGTGTCAGAGACATCACTGAAGAGGTTCCAGCTTCTCTGCATTGAATCTTATCTTAACCATTCCTTGCAGGCCTATTCCTGAAACTGGAAACCATAGATCTGAGCATGTCCATTGACAAATTCTCAGTCTGTGGCTAATACTTCACCAACCAAAGGGCAATTGTCCCATTTGAATTTCTACATAGTCTTGGGAGATGGGGAAATGGACATCAGTTCTAAGATTCAATCGTTGACACAAATTTTAATTATGATTAGAAGCCACCCCCTCTATTTTTCAACTTAGTGTTCAGATCCCCTGTTTATTTCTCCCATGTCGTCCTGGGCAATTTAGCTTAAAATAGTCAAAACAGAGATGGGCTCTGTTTGTTGTCTGGGAAAAGGAACATCATACTGAGTATCATCAAAATCTAGAAATAAAGTTTGAAATCTACATAAGTGCATTTAACAATAAAAGGCATTGGTGTAGAAGAAGAGCAATAAAGAGCAATTTGTGCCACCATCTAGGGATCGCTGTGCTACCAAAGTATTGCCAGCCTAACACAACAAGATACTAGCTGTTGGGGAGGGGGATTCATACTACAAGTAGCCAAAACAAATAGACAGGCCTTATCCAGTTTTGCAGTTAGTAATAGAAAATTGCAATTTCTCTTGTATTTACATGCATGGTGTTTCTAATGAAACATCAGGCAAAAATGGTGCTTAAAGAAGTAAAGCTCTACTGCAGAGTATAAATAAATAAAAGTAATTTTGTCCCCACTAGCTGCATCCTGTACTACAGATGAAGAGTCTTTTTTTATGATACAAACTACATTGGAGAAGAACTGGGATCCTTTCTCCTCATATGGACCAAAATCTCCTTCCCCTACTACTACAAATAAGGGCTCAATATGGACACATGTAGTTTGAATTCAGAGTTAGGGTCATGTTTTTGTAAGGACAATGGAGTTGAAGTATATTGACTATTGGAGCAGTCTTGTTTGAAGGGTACAGAAATCAGTGAGTTGGACTTGCATCCAAGGATGCTAAAATTAGGAGTTTAACCTCCAGTTAGATAGCTCATCTAACACCCTTCTAAGTCTATAAGTTACATCTCCACTTAGCCACCACCTCTTGCACCCATGCAGTCAGTACATAGAAGCTTTCTGAGTAGATGCCCATTTCCATCTCTTTGTAGCCTCCCATGTCTTCAGGGATTCTGTCTCTCAAAAGGCAGGCAGGTTCAGCAACCTTCAAATCCCCACACCATAGTCTTCCCTCCCCCCCCCAAAAAAAATTCCAAATATTGCCCAAGCTGGCTGTTTCCCTTCTTTCTTCACCTTAGTACAAAATATTTACCTCTTTTTTTCCCTCTTTATCTCCATTGTTTCACACAACTTTTCGTTTAACTTAATCACAATCAAAGAAGCTTTCACTGTTTGTAAACGGGATGAAGAGCTTCTCCATTTCTGGTGAGCTTTTTCACGTTACAACCATTTTTGCATCCCAGTTCAAGAGAGAAAGGAGACTGGGAAGAAAGAGATAATGCCAGTAAAAGTAAAGCTTGAGCAGTGATGGGTCAGACAAAGGGTTTTGGAGAAGAGAAGAATGCTTGTTTCAGATATACCTCAGGGAGGAAAGCATTGATCCAAGCCAACTCATCCACTCTCCAGAAATGTGACGTCTGTTTTGATTATTGCACAGCGCATGATGTCACTTCAGAGATTTTCAATACAATGCTATTCATCTTGTTCTTCTCTCACAATTATTTTATCTCCAAAAATGTTTTTAAATGCTAAGGAATAGATTCAGTGTCAGGGTGCATCATCGAAGCAGGAATCCAAGGGGATCAAGAGAAGGGAGTGGCAGGACAGGCAGGGGGTTTAAGAGCATCCACACCTGTCAACAACCATGCCAGGGATTTTGCCATAGATAATCTGCTGTTTGTCATTGAAGTACAGCATGTTGATGGGGGACATCTTGGTGGGTGTACAGCAAGGCCCTGCCGAGCCTCGAGGGTTGGCTTGCTGCACAAGGTGAGTGTGGGGATATTTCTGCATGAACATGTATTCACACTGGCCTGAACAGTAGTTGGCTTTGTACCGCTTGGGAGCGATAATCCAATCCCAACCGAAGGCTTCAAAGTCAACAGTCAGTGGATAACGGCAACAACGGGACTCAGTTGAGTGCTCATCACAGTCTAGCCCCAGGTTCCGACGGGACCGTTTGTTGTTCTCCAGCACACGCAGCTCCATGAAAGGATGCTGGAAACGGGATTGAAAAATAAAAAACAAAGATGTGAGTTCACATGCAATATCTACTTTCCTTTATCTCTGTGACAAGAGAGAACTACTTGAAGGAAAGGCCATGGCCCTCAGAAACACAGGTCTTGGAGTATGTTAACCCCATTAGCTATTTACTGTATTGTCCTATCCATTCTACTGATTCATCTGTCCACCCTTTCTCCCTTTAGGTATCCTGTAAAGTAAACTAACCTTATTAATATACGTTCATGTCTCCCAGCCCTATAAAGATTTGTTCATTCCATCTTTTACCTATACCTACAAGGCAATCTTTCCTTCAGTCCTAGCATTCAGGCATCTATCCAGTTCCCAGAAGTGGCACTGAGTATTTCCTTTTCTGCTTTAGAAATGGCTAAGCAAAGACTTGACTTTAAGTAGCCATTATTAAATCTGATAGTCATATATTCCTTCAGGAAATGCAGTGTAAACAACAAGATAAACGCCTTGTGGGATAATGACGTATCAGGTGTTGCCAGTAAAATTAATAAAAATCACATTGAGGTAAATATTCTGCCGAGACAGATCAAATTGTAAACAGTAAGGTATAGGGAAGCTACATATCTATGAATGTTTATTTAACCTGGTATTATTACTGCAAATTATATACAAGATTTTAGTTAGTAAAAACTGCATTAGTTGCTTCAAGAGACTAATCATAGAATAAAAAATGAAAGATAAATTAAGAAAAAATATATCAATACCAAGCAAATACTATTTTTGAAAAAAATAATAAAAAGTAAGTAGACTTTAAAACTTGAATGTCAGCCTATTAATTTACCAGACTGCTATGCATGTGAACGACTAGTTTAAGGTGGCCATGTGAAAATCTAGAATAATAAGATATATGAATCCAATAATTCAGAACATCTTTTTCTGGAAAGAACTTCCGATTTCCCAGTGTCCCAGTATGCAGCTCACAGGTGGCATGTAGGCAGAGTGGTGTCTTTTTGCATGGGAATGACAGAACAGTGAGTCACAGAGACATTTGACTGAACATTGAACATATAAGGAGTGCCCCATGCTCCAGTGCTCACCTGCTTCATAAGCTGAGCATGCCCTAATGCTACAGTATGGCACTGAGGCTAGGAATTAGGTTGAGCATGTAGTAACCAGCAGCACTTGTAGATTTTGTGAGATCTACAAGAAATATAAAGTATTCCTTGGGTCTCTGTTGGGGCTGGGATGGGGAAAGAAGAGGGTAAGGGACTTTCCTGTTTACCCACCAGGCCTTCAGCACCAGGCCCAAGAGAGGTGACAGCCAGGTCATTGCCATTGGGATCAAAAGCGTTGATCTCGATTCCCCAGTTGTTCTGAGGCTGCTTAAACCAGTTCTGCAGCACATGCTTGAAGTCAATGCTCTGCCAGTGGCCAATGCGTGAGTTCAGGTCAATCTTGAGTGAGCGGATACGGATGTGGCGACTGCCATCCTCTGTCACAGGCTTGAGACGCAGGATCTGTAGGTAGACTGTGGAGGTATGTTGAACAGGCCGTAGGTACACCCACAGCTGTGCCTTTACTACCTTGGTGAACATAATCTTGGGGCTGAAGTTGAAGAAACAACAGTGTGGGTTGCCTTCAATCTGTACTGCTGGGTCCGCTGGCAGAAAAAAAGAGAGAAGCAATTAGCAAAACTCCTTTACAACCCCAGTCATTGGGGTTTCTACCTGAGAGACAATTCTTACAGCTATGTTTATCACATAATAACTGTAGTCGTAACATGATAACATGGTTGTCTAAACCTGCTGTCACAGTTCAGCTTTCATAGAGATTTCTTTTTGGTTGAATACCATGCCCACCAATGGAGGCAGTATTGAACAATAACAACATATCCTTCAACTGTCCGTTCTAATTGTCTTCAGTCACAGTGAACATTAAACCCTCCAGTCAGACATTCATTTACTGGATAGAACTTTGTGCAGATGTGAAACCAAGGAAACTATATTTTTATAAAAGAGAAGCAATTAAGAGACTATTTCTTCTATTTCCATATACTAAGAATATAAAGAGAGGGACAAATAAATCAATAGCTTTTTAAGTAGATAATTTAAAGTGGTCACTATTATGCCACCAATAATAGTGGGTTCGAAAGGAAAGGGTGGGTTTCAAAGGAACAAATGAGAACGCTCAAGAGCTGATGCCCACAAAAATATGAGTTCCCATGTATAGTGTTCTATAATGCAAGGTTACGAGTCACTCAATTAGCCCACTTACCCACCCCGCTTAAACAATAAATAGCCTGCTCCCCAGTAAAGGATGTGGTGTGCATGTTGAATTCTTTCCACATTTGTACTAGAGCTTGTTATCTAGCAGGATCTCTCTCCAGACTTCTCTGATTCCTCCCTACCCTCCATAGCCCACAAGGCTGCCCAGCTTTCCAGAGCAGATCCTGAGGGGCACAGAGAGTACAGGGAGAAAATGGTGAAAGTTGTATCCCTGTTTCTTTTGCTGGCACAAACGTTCATAGAAATACATTCACTGGATGCTCCTGCCGACCAAAGAGAACTCAGGATCCAAACTCGTATGTTTTGGTCACTGCGAAACTATACTGGATTGTAGATTTACGTTAAAAGAAGAATTTAAAGGATTGCTTTTCTCCCTACCAGGGCTCACAAAATGTTTTTGGTAGAGTCATCCATAACTGTTTGAGCTACTTATACTACAGAAGTGTACAGAAATACATAATTCCTTTGTGTTGCATGAAAATCATGCTTATTGACAACGGAATATTAGCTATGGAGCAATTTGCTCTGTGACAAACTTGATACCACCTTCTTACACTACAATTCTGATGTCCCCTACTAGAAAGCAGCATATACATACACAGAAATAAGTCCTATAGCTTTTAATAGGATGTACTCCTAGGTAAGTGTGTATAGTTTTGTGCCTTTAATACTGAAATGCATTGACAACACACACACGGAAAAGGAAGAAGGTGCAGGTATAATACAAAAACATTGTTAACTGATCTTGTCCTCGCCATAGAGCTCACAGGGAAACTGCGTCAAAGAGAATGTTTTGGCAATACTGCAGAGCCAGACCTGCAGGATGAATGGGGTCGGAGGCTGAAGGCACGGAGTGAGCCTAACTTAACAAGGGAGAGTGCTGAGGAGCCTGCCTAGACCAGCGCTCCAGAACTCAAGTTGTCCAATTCCATGCAGTCCTCGTGAGTGTTTGTGTGTCTTAACAACCATTGAATTATTCACAGGCTAGGCTCGTAAGCCGCAAATAATGTATATGATGTTGTCCCTAGTAAGTTATCATGTTGTAATTGTCATTTAAAAATGTTATACATATAGCCCTTGAAGAAGGCTGATAGGCCAAAACGCATTTTACAATGAAATAAAGGATATTTTTTACATCCCAAAATGACAGTCCTTCCATTTTTACCTCAGATTTCAGTGGATGTACCAGTTCCTTTCATTAATTTATATTTTGTAGTCACAGAGTGCCTAACCCCCCCCTTTCATGTTTTTTTAATAAGGATTCTGAGCCATTGTAGGACCTTAGTAAGCATGCCTTATCAAGGATAGAGTCCAAGCGCAAAAGTGATCCTGCATTTGTGCTCTGGAATAGAGGCGCTACATCAGTGCTCTAGATCAGTGGTTCTTAACCTTCGGTTATTCAGGTGTTTTTGAACTGCAGCTCCCAGAAACCCCAGCCAGCACACCTGAGTAACCCAAGGTTAAGAACCACTGCTCTAGATCACCCACTCTCCACCGAGTCCATATGGCCCCTGGGGGCTCCTGGCACATTTGAAAGAGGCTACAGATTGGAAACAATTGCTTGTTCTAGCTCCTGCAACCTAGCAGTTCGATGGCATGCAAATGTGAGTAGATGGATAGGTACCACCTTGGTGGGAAGATAATGGCATTCCATGTCTAGTCATGCCAGCCATGTGACCACGGAAAGTGTCAACGGACAAAAAAACAGCTCTTTGGCTTACAAATGAGGATGAGCACTGGCCCCTAGAGTCGGACATGACTGGCCTTCATTGTCAAGGGGAACCTGTACCTGTTATGTTATACATAAAATACATACATTGAATAATGAGTCGTATTTTTCTCTAAGACAACCATAGTGCTGCAGGACAGGTTATTTATTGCCTTTTACCAGTTATGGCCATCTAAACCAGTTATGTCTGGTTGGGAGCAGCTCTTCAGGCAGAGAGAGGCCATTCCCATCACATGCTACTGAGCCTTTTAAAACATAAACCTCAGTATATCAAGAATTGTACTGGTGACCTTCTCCCTGAAAGACATGTGGCATCTACTGAAATATGGCTGTTTCTGCCACTTCTGAGTTGGACACAACAGCCATTTAACACTGTACAGTAGCACACTGAGGAAAGAACATGTCTCAGCCAGGTACAAAAGAAACTGGATCAGGCTAAAGAATATTATAGTAGAGTGTGCTAGCTCTTACATGAAGAACCTTGACCATTCAAAATTAAGCAACATTCTCCTTGAGTTTAACATGCGCCGTTCCACAGTGGGTATTATCTCAGGCTCAGCCAGTAGGAGGCAGGCATTCCAAAAGAATTCTCAAAGGCTGGAAACAGAGCCACCCTTTCCTGTTAGAGCCCCATTGCCCTCTCTTTAGCAGAGAAAATAGGCTGGGTTCACTCCAGACTATGGCCTTTAACAGTTTCTTTATACTTTCTTTGGGCATGTCATGCAAGGGCAAATCTGTGCTCTGTCTCTTCTCAACCCAGCATCTGTTACTTTGTCCTTATTAGGGGGTTCACTATTGATATGGAAGCAAACCTCTGGTCTCTAAACACTCAAACACAAACCTGCAAGCTTTGTAGTTAGCCCATAGCTAGCATTCAATTCTGATCAGGCATCAGATGTTTCTTGCCTGCCCCGACCCCCTGATTTCCATTTTTAGTTGGCCTGCTGACACTCAGTTCTTGGTTACTAATAGATGTAAGTACCTGGCAGAATTTCTTCACTTTCAGAAGAACAGGAACACCTGATTACGTACTCTTTATTAGCCAGCCCACAACTCAGTTCTTTAGACACTTCCTACTTTGTCATGACCCCACTGGACCAGAACGTACACAACTGCCTTAGTTCATCTAGCCCAGTACTATTAGCACATCTGGATTTAGACAGGATTCTTCCCTAGCCTTCCCCTGAGACCCCTGTATTCCATGGTGATAGCTTATCCAGGTAACCAGATCTGAGCCCGTTTCTCAAATCATGCAAGGTTCAGTATGTTCCAGTGTTGCAAGAAACCTCTGGTCCTAAAAACAAAGTCTAAGATGGGACTTGTGTTGTTTAATCCAACAGTGGCTAAATCCATCCAGATCTGTACACATTCTCTGTCTACTAACCCAGATTTTATTACTTCGCCATTTGTCCTATATGAGTCATACAATATGTACCTCTAGCCCGGAATCCTTCCTCTTAGAAGTGTCAGTTTTGAATGCTTTAGGCAGTTTATAAAACAGCATAAGTCCCAGTAGTGACAGATTTTCCATCATCCAGTTCTCCGGTATTTTGGAGTTTCTTTAACAAAGAGACAACTTAATTAGCACAAATTCTAGTGCATCAAAGTACTATCCTATGTGATGTATACAAATTTATCATGTGTCTCTTGCTCCGTGTTCCTGATCCCATTCCCAACAACTGGTCCATGAAAAACTGTACTTTGTAGAAAGCTTATTTTCCTTTGTAATTTGAAAAGTGGCCTGTAATACAGTGCAGTGCTGTTCACCGCAGTCGGCAAGTAAATCATTTCTGCTGCTGCAGCTGCTAACTTTCAACTTATTCTTCCAAATATCATTCTCATTCTTTGCCATTTCTTTCCCCAAAAATGAATATTACTGTAAGAAATGATTTTTGGAGCATCCTTAAGAAAATCTAAATGCTTGTTCCTGTGGTTATAGTTGTCAAGATAGTTCAATCCTTGTGAACTATTGGCAGTTGGTCCATTCAGCATGCAAGGATGTATGTTTTTGCTTGTATGTGTAAGCAAAAACATACACTAGAATGTATGTTTAACACATACACTAGAAAGTGTTAAAGTGTTCTTCCTGCCAAGGTGTGTGCTGCATTTTGGTTCCTTTTTTAAAAAAACCCAACTGGTTTGCACATAAAACCTAGTGGGTTGTTTTTTGGCACAAAACCACACTTTTAACAAACACTGTTCCTGAAAAAAAGTGCTTATCCTTCACTCTTCTCGGAAAAAATCTTGTAATAGTTGCCCATTTTTTCAACAGTCTATCAAGAGTCCTATTTTTGTCAAGAATGAGAAAAAAAACTGAGTGTTAATTGTACCCTTACTTGGCAATAGTAAAGAGTTGCTTCTTTCTTCTGCTTGTCTCAGGTAGCCACTCTGATCTAATCTACCAACCATCTATTCTATACCTAATCCCTTTGCTTTTGCAATAAACTTTTAGTTATTCCTGTGTCATTTAGAGTTTCTGCCTATCCCTTCTCTGATAATTTTATGTGATTTCAGCATCATACATATTTGGCTTTCCTTATCACCATCTGAGAACAAAAACTGTACTAATAATTTTCCAATTCTTCCAATTCTTTTGGTTTCCTGTCCCATATCCACCTTCTTGCTTTACCCACCCCCTTCCCCAGA